TATTGACCCCAGATCAATTAAATCAGAGACACCAACAGTGGGGCCCAAACATAGGTATACATCCCAGCAAGGCTCTCAGAGTTCTGCTGCAGACTCCACGAGAGGCCCCACCCTAAGTGCCTTCCCAACCCTGCTGACACTGTTAATCTTGTCGGCCTGACAGGGGAATTCTCCTGGGAAAAGCAGTTTTGTTTTTTATTTTCACTCTCTTAGTCGTTTTTCAATTGTATCTGGTAACAGATTTAGAAAGCGCCTTCCTAAGGCTACCCCCGAGGGGGCTGAGCTGTTTACACCATTCTGCCCTGCCTGAGCAAGATCAGTGGTTCACACAGACATCCCACAGGGGACCAAGGGTTAGCACATCCAAGCACAGCCCTGGGCCTGCCCTCTTACAGAACTGCAAGTCAGAGAGGGAGCCACACAGCCCTGGAGCCCCTGCTTCTGGGAATTTAGCTCTGCAAGAGCCCGGCAGGAAGTGAAGCATTGAGGGACAGACACTGAGGCTCAGTGAGGTGTGAGGAAGCGGGGTGTGCGTGCATGTACACGTGTGTGCAGGAGATGTGCACACTGAGGTGTATGCCTTCATGGGTGATTGCAGAGGCTGCGTGGGTCTGTGTGTGTGCCTGTATATGAACATTCATGTAGGCACCTATGTGGGTGGGTGTGCACTGTGTGTGCAGGGACATACATGTGGTTGTGTGTATGTGCTTGTGTGCATCTGAAACAAGGAGACATTGGCAGGACTTCAAAGTAGCGGTATGCAAGAAAACAAGCAGGAAGCTGCAACTTTGGATAAAAAGTGGAGGGAAATAAACCAAACTGCCAATTAAGTGCACAAGTCATTGCCGATCAGAAGGTGGGATGTGTGGGCAAGCTGGATGGGACCAGTACAACAAAAGATGGCAATGCACCTGAGCAAGAACTTCACTATACGTCCATTAGAATGCATTTCCCTAGTAAAATCGCCCAGAGGAGGGACATACCACATACCACACCTTTAAGCACATTTGGCCCATGTGCAGATTCACCCCTACACAGTAACTAAACTGTACCTCGTCTGGAGATGCCGTTATCCATTTTGGAAGAGAATGAATAATTAATGACATGCTTTTGGGACCCCATAGAAGTGGGACATGTCCTTCATTAGGTTTGTCAATATGTGTAGAGGAGCCGGTTCACTGGCTGTGGAGCAGCCAGCTGCTCTGTCTCTTCCATTATCACCTCAGCAAGGACCCAGGCTTGCCGGTGACACGCAAATCTATGACAGATGAGCTCAGGTGAGTAAGGGAGGAGGGAGCAGAAGGGGGCACTTTCTGATCCTGGCAATATTCACGGGGATCTCCTAAAAGTAGTCCCCTACGCAGTGACGGCTCTATCCTCGGATGGGCAATGGAAGCCCACCGCAGGCTCAGTGCCAGGCCCGGGGAAGAGCCAGAGGAGTGGCAGAGCTCTATGGAAGGACGAGGGTGGAGCAGAGAGAGAACAGAAGCACAGGACATGCTGAGAAGCTGAGAACTGAGTTAAATCCCTGCCCCTCCAGGAGACCTGCTCACTCTGCTCCCCAGGGAGAGCCCTCCAGCCTGTCACAGAGTGGTGACATGAAGATGACCTCATCTCTCTGCCCTGGATCCTGCCTAGTCAGAAGGGAAGAGTCAGGCTGCACACACTGTTTGACAAACACAACCTCATCTAACCTGAGGGTGAGGGAGCCCTGACAGAAGGTGCTCCTACTCATAAGGGTCTCTGGGCATCTTAGGGCCTCTGAAGACCACCCAGACCGCTTCTCACTGCTCTCTCCGAGACAGGTCTGGCTCCAGGTGAGCTGCAGAACTGGCCATGCCATCCACAAGCTTCCCTGCCCCTGGGCCCCTGACTTCCTCCTCATTCATCCCTGCTCCAACTGACTTTCTCGCAGCGAGCCTGTAGGCCAGGGTAAGACAGCCTCTTTTTATCATTTGCAAGCGCTGGCTACCTCTGCAGCATTCTGCTCCACACACAGTGTCAGCGCATCCCTGAGCTCTGTTCAGCTGGGGGCAGGCACAGTGCAGGCGCAGGAGTGAGTGCAGGCGGAAGATGAGCAGGCACACCTCAACCCTGAGCAGGAACAGCTGGATCTGCAAATGACAAACGGGGCTGTTTGCTTCTCCCAGCACCTGCAGCTCTGTGGGTTCAGCACCAGCTCTAGGAGACAGCTCCCACCTGGTTCCTTATTGCTCTGCTGAGATTCAGCCAGCAAGGTCAGAGGGTCTGTGTCATGGTAGGGACCTCCTCTCCCAGAGTCTGCTCCTCACATGCACTGTGCTTCCTCCAATGTCACCACAGGCGCGGTGACCGCCTTTCATCTTTACTGAGCTTCCTGGAAACACCTGCGTTAACCTAAAAGAATGATTCCAGCACTGTGGATTTCAAGTCTCAGGGATAAAAACCTTCAAACCAGGAGCTCCCTTAGTAGCCTCTTTAACAACACAGCCTCCTTTTCTCCCTAGTCCATGTAACTGGTCCTAATGTTCTGCCTGGGTTACTGGCAGAGTGGCAGGGAAGAACTGCAGAGACCGAGCTGGTGCCCGAGACAGGAGCTCCCTGGTCCTTAGAGACCCCTGAGATTGCTGCCAGCTCTATCCCCACCATCATTCTCCTCTGTGTACAGAGATCAGCAGGGGGGGCCAGCAGAGACATCTACAGTACAGCAGGAGACAGTGTGCAGGCTCCGGAGAAGAATCACATTTCCACTTGAAAACCACCCAAGAATAAATTAATGGATTGATGGGAAGAGTTGATTTACATGCAAACAACACTGGGGCTTCCTTAGCTAAGCCCTGGGGCGAACAAAGTTAGAACAATCTTATCAAAATAACAATGAAAAAGGAGTAGAATTCCAGGGAGCACAAATCCCTATCCACAAAGAAAAGATTGATAACTTTGACTAAGTTTAAGTTAACCACTTCTGTTGGGGGGAGGGGCACAAAGAAATTTAAAAAGACAAGCTGCAAATTAGGCTTTCAGCAGATACCACTTACATGGCATTTATACTCATATGAATAACCACTACAATTCAATAAAGAAACAACCCAGCAGAAAGGTGGCAAATGATATGAATGGGTATTTTATGGGCATTTTTGTCAAGAAACAATAGCAAATACATATATAGCAGGATGCTCACCCTGTTGGTGGTCAGGAAATTCAATTTAAGACAGTGATCAGACAAATCATGATACCAGTTCTGCCTGCACTTAAAGTCTGATAATCATGAAAATGGTGGGGCTGTGGCTACAGAAGCCCACCAACTGGTGGGATGTGAATCGCTGCAATCATGCTGGGAAACAATCTGGCATTAGCCTGTGAAGCTGAATTTTCACACACCCTAAAAAGCAGAAATTGTGCCCCTAAGTCTATACCCAAGAGAAAGCGATGCTAATTAGGTATCAGTTGCACAATTTGTCTCTCAGATGTACAACAATGGAGGAATTTGTCTCTGGACAATTGTATTAACATACTGTGAGGTCAGCACAAGTGTTCAGCGACAGCTCTCAGCCGTGGGACAAATTGTTCAATTGAGCTGAAAACTCTTACACAGATGCCCCAAGTAATCTGCCCATGAGTGTCCACTGCAGCATGTACTGTGCAAAAAAAAAAAATTTACAGTAGGAGAAAGTTGCTCAGAAATAGGAAACACTGATAGATAATTTGGTACACTTGTACATATAATACCATGGATGAATCTTTGAAACATAATGAGTGAAAATAAACAAGTCTTGAAGATTGTATACAGTAGATGCCTTTTTTTTTTTTTTTTTAAGGTACAGGATGCTGGACCCAGAGAGTGCTGAGCTACATATTCAGCCCTTTTTATTTTTTACTTTAAGGCAGGTCCTTACTAACTTGCCCGTGCTGGCCTCAGAGTTGCAATCCTCCTGCCTCTGCCTCCCAAACAGCTAAGATTACAGATGTGCACCACTGAGCCCAGCAGTAGATGCCACTTCTATGAATCTCAAAACAAAACCACACTAAGCAAAACTAAACCGCATTACTTATGGATATACAAATATGAAAAAACACCAATTAATAATTATTTTATAAAGCAAAGGATAAGCACAAAATTCAAATTACAGGTTTTGTGGGGAGCAGGCAGAAGGAGGAGAAGGAAGGTCCAGGTGGATACAGGGCCTTCAGTAATATTCCCCACCTCCAGGTGGACAGCAACATCATGGGAAACCATTCTCTTTGTGTGCAGCATCACATATTTTATATGTACTTTTATACATATCAAATATCATGCAATAAATATAAAAATAAAGGAAGAAAAATCATATGCATTTCTACATTCCCCCAGATAGGGTGGATAAAAAGAAACCCAATCTCTCTCTCACACGCACACACACACACACACACACACACATGCACACGCACACTCCTACCCCCTCAACATCCCACACACTCACAGCCTTTTAGCTTCGTCCTCCCTGCAAGCATGAGGTGGGGAAGGGGCCAACACCCACAGCGTCGAGGGACCCTGAGAAGGCCCAGTGCGCATTGGGAAAAGAGGAGGCATTGCTTGTGCATCCCAGCAACCTCCAAGTCTTGCTGATCCCCAACCGCACAAACACGCCCGCAAAGGAATCCAGTTCCAGAGAGAAACCAGCGAGGCCGCTGGGAAGGCAGGCAGAGGGAACCACATGTGCATGGGGTAGTTCAAGCCCTTGAGTCAAAATTTGTCAGTCCCTTAGCACAAACCCCACACTTCCCAGAGATGGAGATGGGAGACTGAACTGTGCTAGGCAAATACGCTTCCTTGGTGTGCGTCAAATGTGAGCAGGTGTCAGTGTGGAGGAGGAGGTGGGGGCACAAGAGTTAGGCAGAAGAGGGAATTAGGGAATGGCTGGCAGAAGAGCAGGAAGCTTCCCAGGCCCCATGGGCCCTTTAGCAGCTCCTGGGCCCAGAGGTTCCCCTTTATCCCTGCTCCCTTCCAGCACAGCTCTGCAGGGGCTCTCGCCAGCACTCACCTCTGCAACTCCTTCAGGGACACGGTGACCCTCAGGCTGTGGCCCAGGACGTAGAGAGCAGCCAGGATGTCTGCCCACTGCACCATCTCGCCCAGGGGCCCTCCCTTCAGCACCCTCGGGCTGAACACGTCCCCAGACTCCTCCGTCAGGAAGCCGATGTGCACGAGGATCTGGCCGGTGGGATACAGAAGGTCAGCGTGAAGAAGTGGCAGCCCTCAGTCTTGCCTCGACCCCAAGACACCAGGCAGGAGACAACTGCAGCAGGCACTGCCTCCAGGCTGGACCTGGCCGGGCATTTTTGGGCACTAGAGTGACCGCATCAGGTGGTGGGGATACAGGTGGATAAGGTGGTCACTTTCCTGCCTCCCGGAGCTTACGTTCCAGATGGAAGAGGTGGACAACAGTAAACACAGACAAGAGACAGTTTCATGAAATGATAGGGACTCTGCAAGAAATAAACAGGGTGATGTGAGAGTCATGTAATTCTCTATTACATGCATGGACGGACAGATGGAGGGAGGGACCAGCAAACGGCCCCAGAAACATGATGTGATTCCCAGCCTTCCAGGCAAAAGCTATGACTGCTCCCCCTGACCAGAACAAGATGTCCACAGAAGGCGGGACCCCTCAGGGGCTTGTCATTCTGCCCCAGCCCAGCAAGAGGCCAGGGACCTCACCTGCTTCCATCCTGACCCCACCACCCCAACCCTGCCTCTTCTTCTGGGTCAAATTCAAAGAAATCCAATGCCACTAGTTGGAGGGCCCACACCACGTCCCCTTGGAAGCCACAGGTCCTGAGCAGGTTGCCCAAGATCCCTGGGCTCCACTCCCCAAGATGATGTTGCACCTGCTTCTGGTCCCTCTGGATGTCCCCCAGCTTCTGTGCTAGGCGCTGGGCAGCTGTCGCCCACTGGGATGTGAGCCGCTTGGTCCGCTTCTTCATGAAGATCAGTGACTCTTTCCCGCTGCCCATTAGCTCCAGGAGGTGGGAGAGGTTGCTCCGGAAAACTGCCTGGGGTGCATTGCAGACTTCAGCTCTTTCAGCCCTAGACCCGCAGCCACGTAGCCACCCCCACACAAAGGCTCGACCTGCTCCAGCTTTGCTCACCTGAGCCCAAGGTCTAGAGGCTCTGCTCTTGCCCCCAAGTTGATGTGTCCCAACCTAGCTCCTGCCAACCACCTGCCCTGAGCCCTTCCAGAGAGGTGAGCAGCGATGACAGTGCCGGGGTCCCGGGCACAGCAAGCAGGCAATGATGATGGAAGTGGTCAGCACCAGGTGCTGGGCTGCCTCTCGGCAGTTCCACTGTCACGGTACACCTGGAGCCCATTAACTCTCTAAACCTCAGATTTGTCATCTGTTAAATACAGTCACATCAGCACGGCCAGGAGACTTAAGTACAAATAAAGTGTCTGGCACACACAGCGCCCTCAACACATGACAGCTTTTATTACTATCATTCTGGTCCATTAACGGGGTGCCTCCTTGGCCCCAGCCCGCCCTCAGGCAGCACTCAGTGTGCAGCGCCTCTCACTAAGTGGGACAAACACTTGGGCTGGCCACTGCTGTCCTGTGCCTGCAGAGCTGGCGGCCTCCTCCGCTGGCCAGTCCTGAGGTTTCATCCCACTACCTCTGGGGCTGGTCAGCTGGGGAACCTACCGGCTGCCCACCTCCATGCCTACCTGGACTCTGGGGAGGGTTTTGGGGGCCGTCTGAGCCTTGGTCTGGTTCCTCCAGGGCAGCGGAGGGCAGAACCACTCGACCTCGCTGAGGTAGATGAGGAAAGAGCACTCCGTGCCGTCCACCCCGAAGAAGGCGTAGCAGGGGTCAGAGGTCCAGCGGGCACGCATCCACTGTGGAGAAGGCAGGCTTGGACGGGTGGCCAGCAGCACCCACCCCACCCTAGCAGGCTTCCTGTGTGTACATGTTCCCAGGGACCGCAAGGTCAGGATCTACATGGCATGCCCTGCCCTAAGGATATAGCAGGGGGGAAAGAGAATAGAGACTGAGGCAGGAAGCTAGCTCTAGGACCCGGACATCTGCCCTGGCCATTGAAGACCATAGAGATCAGGCCCAGAAAGAAGACCCTGGAACACTCAGCCAGGCCAGAGCGCAGGAGAGCCAGGAGGGGCGGCAGCTTGGGCTGGGCTGTCTCCTGTTGTTTGGTCCTCATCCCCTGTCACCTTGGCTAGTGGATAAGGTCATGAGGCAATCTTCAAGCAGGAGGGGATGGGTCCAGGGAAGGTCCCACTACAGTGGTCTCCAAAGAAAGGGACCAGTGAGGACCTGGCTTTATGGCTGTGGATGGGCTCTCCACAGGGACAGATGTCATCATGTGGCCAGAGATGTCCCTGGAGTTAGGACAGAGGACCCCCAGCCCAGCTGTGGGTTGGGCCAGGAGGAACAGGATGAAGTGATGGAGACCCAATCCTGAGGTTTCTGGGAAGTGGGCTGCTAGGGACAGGTCACCATTCAGCAGTTTGCCGGTTGTAAAGAAAGTATGGAAGCCCCTGCTGGGTGACTCATCTGAGGTCTGAGTTGGTGGCTGGGAGGGGTCTGGTAGAGAAACCATTGCCCTGAGGTTGTCTTTGGCCAGCTGGTGCCAGGGTCAGGGAGCACAAGCTGGGCAGAGGCCCTTGCCAGCAGACGGCCCAGGCAGGATGGAAATCTCGGAGCCAGGCTGTATGTGGCTGCCTTCCTTGCTGCACTCAGCCCAGCCTCAGCTCCAGGCCTTACCTCCACCTTTCCGGAGCAGTCGGGGAACTTGGGGTCACTGGGAGCCTCACACTGATCCTGCCGGCCCTCAGACACTGCAGGAAGAGGTCAGTGAGATGTCAGCTCTCTGAGGACCTGTGTCCCAGGGGGACCCAGGGAGAGTGCAAGGGGCAGAAGGGTCTGCACCTCCTCTCCTCCCACCTCGGTTTTCTCATCCAAAAAGTGGGTCACTAGCTGACAGCCCACCCCAAGGAGTGCCCGGGTCTGAGCTGTTCCCTCCACACCCCTAGTCTTCCCTGGGGCTGTCAGGGGCTGTCAGAAGACCAATGAAGAAGCCCTCTGGGTGAGGAGGCTTCAGGTACCCACTCAAACGCACCCTGAGTTTTCTGAGGTGGACAGAGAAAGGCCTGCAGCCCCTAGCTGCTCCTCCATCAAGGGGAATGGAGGGACCCTGGGACCTTCCCCAGCTGGCCTCCCTCTTGGGACCTCAGTAGCCAGGACTCCAGGCACCTCCTGTCCTCCCTGCCCAGGCAGGGCAGGTTGGGGTGAACCCCAGGTCACCACACCGAGAGCCTGGAGTGGGGCCTCAAAGAGCCAGGAGAGCTGTCATCAGAAGAAGTCGAGCCTCCCCGGGTGTCCCACCCTCCCACGGCTCCCCCTACCCAGTGCACGGGCCTTGGGGAGGGTGGAGGTGCCCCCCTGCACTCACCCTTGCTGTGCAGGAGCAGACTGTGGCGCAGGATCTGGTCCACCTTCGCGGCGATGTCAGAGACGTTCTGGGCAATGGCCTGGATCCGCTCCATGAGGCCGGCCCCAGGGGAAAGTCTGGGAGGGGAGAAGCCAGAGATGAGCAGCAGAACCCACTTGGGTGACCTTCGGGCGGCTTTGGTCAGTCACCAAAGGCAGCAGGGTCAGCAGCACTCCAGGCACCCAAGTCCCGCTCCACGGAACCCCACAGCAAGGGATAAAGCCGGTGGGGATGGACCGGAGCCCACCCCATCCAAGGTACACACTCCACACGCATGGAGGGCCCACATCTGTGTGTGCTAGGTGTGTCTGCACACATGCTGCTGTGGGTCAAAGGGCAGGGCCAGAGCTGAAGCAAGCAGAGCCGGAACAGAACAATCCTAGGGATTTAGAGCCTCTGAGTCCTCGGCTGGGCCTACAGCTGCCCAATGGGCAGCTAAAAACAGGATAAAGCTTGGCATCTCTCCCTTTGCTTTGCATCTGTCTCCTTTATTACCTTAAGGCTTGGGTCAGATTCCTGCTCAGCTCTGCGCCTAGGCATGTTAATTATTTAAGAAGCGCTGGTCTAGCGGGCACACATCCACTGGTAATCTTCCCCCTTCAAGGCTGAGCACACCAAGATAAGAGTAACTGAAGTATTTTCAAGATTTGCAGGGACATCAGAATCAACAGATTGGCAACCCTCAGCGTTTACAATGTCCTGTCCAGACAGACACCCAAGCAGCACTAAAAGTCTCCACCTGCTGTCCTGACTCACTCCCTCTCGCCTCTCTGACTTGCTCTTTGAGTCATTCTCTCCTGCAGTCACCCTGGATTCCGGGAGGAGCAGGTCCTGCGACATGTCTGTGACAAGAGTTGAAACTCAACTTTCCTATTCCCAAGGAGGTGCTGCTTGGTCATCCGGAGATATTGATCAACCAGACCCCTATCCGATCAAGACTGCTTAACTACGCATGCTCCCTGCTACACACTTCCCCATGTAAAACCTTATTTGCCCCAAAAGTCAGGGCTTGGACACATCACTCTCCTTCCCAGCACTGAGGAAATTCCTTTCCTCCTTCAGCGTTATTCTCTCTGATTTTGGGGGTGAGTGGTGAGACCTGGTCTATTGGGAGCCCCTGAAATTGGCTCCCCAGTCCTGGCCTAAGAGTGAGTGAGAGGAGGCCTGGGTGCCCCAAGTCTATTTCTCTCCTTTCCACAACTCTTCAAAATAAATCCCACCCACAGGAGCCTGGGGACTTGCCAACTATTAAAACTCTAGTAAATTATCACGGCTTCCTGAGGATGAATCCTTCCCAAGGACTGTAAAGTAGTTTACTATCACAGACACCATGGGCCTCCGCCTCACCACCAATACGGGTGCTGATTTTTTTCCTTTTTCATTTTTGGTACTGGGAATTGAACTCAGGGCCTCATGCTTGCCAGGCAGACACTGCGCCATTGAGCTACATCCCTGGCCCCTACTGGTGTTGTTTTTATTTTGGGAGAGAATTTATTTCCTTATGTTGATTACTGCTTAACTCTTGGGGAATTCTATTAGACATTATATGCAGTATTTATCTCATTGCAAAGCCTTCTGTGGAGATGGATCCCACTCTGCTGGTGTTATCTTCCTCTGCAGGGACAGCCCTGGGGGCCTTTCTCCAGCAACTTGCGCGCTTTCTGCACATTAATTCCACTTCCTTTGGTTTTCACTCCACCCTCTGGCTGTGCAATTTTATAGCCTCCAGTTTAAGCTCTGTTTGCCTTGCACAAGGTGCTGTGTTTGCCTAAGCACACACGATGGGAATTGTAGGAAACATTTTTCCAACCTGGGCTCTGCTGAGTCCGTGAACCCCATAAGGTGACCTGCTCCCGGAGAAGGCACAGCACTGAAGCGTGGTGCCGAGTGCCCTCTCTGGCCACCTTCCCTTGTCACCTCCACCTTCTACAGGAGACCAGGGGCGGTGGCTCCATCCACAGAGGGCAAAATGTGAGGGTTACAGGTAGAGCCGAAGCAGAGATGGAGGCTGGGAAAGGGACAAAAGACAAGTGACAGGAAGGGGGAAGGAGCCCTCACACACACATGGTACACACTCACCCCACACGCACGCACGCATGCACCCACGCACACAGTCCTTTAATCTGGATCCCAATGTCATCTTGGGGGAAACCCCAATGGAAAATGGTGCAGCTTTGGCACTGCTTTCCTTGGGCTGCCCCACCAAAGAAAGAACAACAAGCAGAGTGGCTAAATCAACACTATAGCACAGTTCCGGGGTCCAGAAGCAAAGTGCTGCTGCGCCTGCTTCCTCGTGGAGCCCTTGGGACCACTCCTGCCTCCCCTCTCTCCCCGTGCCTCCTGGCTCCTGGCTCCTGGACGTTCAGTGGCTTGTGGCTGTGTGGCCCCATCTTTGCCACATTTCCTCCTCTTATGAGGACATCTGTGACTGAACTAGGACCCACCCTAGCCAGCAGGACCTCACCTTAACTTGATCACATCTGCAAAGACCCTATTTGCAAATAAACCCACATTCACAAATAAAGTGAGCAGGGCTGAGGACCCTGACATATCTTTGGGGGTAGGGGACACAGTTCAACTCCCAATAGCCTTCTACAAGATCACAAGAAGAATGAGAAGAGATTTGAAAGACAGCCACTTCTATGTTCAAAGCATCCCAGGCAGGAGAAAGCAGGGTTATTTCTCACTAGGGACTAGGGACAAACCTCAGGCTTTTATGAACTGTGTGATCCTAAACAAGTCACTTAGCTTCTTTGCTCAGTATTCTCATTAAGGTGAAGATGATAATGGCTACCTCGCAGAGCTGCTGTGAAGGATGAGTGAAGAAAGCGATGGAAAGTGAATAGAATGTGAAGCCAGCACGATGTGCATCAGTGACGTCACTGTCACGATCGTAGCTGAAGCAGCAGCAGAGGGGATGAGACAGGAGCGTCTTAACCCTTTTCATTACTGACCTCCTAAGGAGATTTGTAGACTTATTTTCTGCTCCACCTCCCCCGAAACGTTAGCTGGCTCTCAGGCACAAACTCCTGTGTCTGCAAAGGCCTGCTGCATTGAGCCGAGTAGGGTTACCCCTCCCAGCCAGTGCTCTCACTTTGGGGTGAGGCCCTGGACTGAGAAGGCACAGGTGACCCAAGAAGGAAGGTGCTTCCTTAAGACCCATGAGGCTCTGAACTTGAATAAGATCAGATGAAGACTGCGGTAGCTTTTCACGCTGACAAAGGGACAGGAAGGACACTCCTCTGACCAGGGTGAATATGGAGAAGATCAAAAGAGGTGGCCATAGTGACAGTGGTCAGGAAGCCTCTGCCACCTGCTGCTGGCCAGAAAGGGCAACCAGGGCTATGTTCTAGCCACTCATGGGGACAGGAGGTACCCAGGTGGGAAAGGGCCAGGGGTGGCCTAACGTCTACCCAGAGACCCACAGCACAAACACCCACTACAGGGATGGGCCGGAACCCCGCCAGACCACTGAGGATACGGGGCAGACACTGGCCACTTCACCCCACCTTCCTGTAGCCCCCACCCTCGCTCCTCTGCATCCTCCCCATAAGAGCCCGATCAAGCCCCTCAGGCCCCAGACCATGGGATGTGGGTGTGAGTGTCCAGCTGAGACCCCAGATGGAGCCTGAAGTCCTCAAGGACAGGACTCAACTTTCATATGTGGAGTTTGCCACCGCCTAGCACGGGCCACACGTCCAGGGACCTCATCATCACAGGCTGCAGAGCGTTCCTCAGTTCACTGGAGCTGCAGAAGGTGACCTTATTTGCAAAAGTATCTTTGCAGATGTGACTAGTTCAGATGAGGTCCTACTGGATTAAGGTGGCCCTAATCCAAACACTAAGGTCCCCGTGAGGAGGCCACATGAACACACATGACGAGAAGGCCATGCAGTGCTAGAGATGGATGGGACCATCGCAGCCACAAGCCACGGGCACTGGTGACTAAGAGGAGCTGCAGGGCGAGGCAGGACCCTCCACAAGAGCCCCTGGGAGGAGCAGCCCCAAGACACTGTGACTTCAGACCTTGGCCCTCCAGCACTGTGCACGAATAAACTGCAACTCTTTAAGCCACCTGGCTGGTGGCAGTTTTTCACAGCAACCCTAGGAGACTAATCCAATCACCACCTGCAAAACCGAGGGATAAACGGTTTTTAATCCATCCCAAAGGCAGCCAGGTTCTCCGGCTGCCAGGAAGTCTTTCTCTCGTGCTAAAGCCCAAACTTCATTCTGCTGCTGCTCTCAAAAGAGACAAAGAAATCAGAGACTGCCCTTGATTTTCAAGCCCAACACAGAAATTATTTTAGCAATTTACTGGGAAAAGTGAGGGCCTTGGAATCAGAGGGCCTGAATTCAAATCCTGGGTCCATATCCTATTTGTGTGACCTTGGGCAAGTTCCCTAACCTCTCGGAGCCCCAGCCGGAACTCCTATGAAATCAGAGTGGCAGAGTTGTTTTGAAGGTTAGCTATGAGGATGAATGGAAAGACCTCAGCATTCAGGAGGTGCTCAGTAGATACTTCACATGCTTTTGCTCCCTGCTCACAGCAGTCATCCCATTCCCAAGAGGAAGGACCAGAGAGCCCAGTCACAGAGAGAAGCACTTTTTGGAGGATTCAGCAATTTTCCTACAATAAGCATTTTTGTATAAAACATATCACTAGCACAGACTTTAAATAGTGCAGATGGCGTCTGTCTGATTTAACAAGTTCAACTCGTTCACAGCAGAATTACTTGGCATCGCTATTATTATACTGGACTTTGCATTTGCATAGCGCTTTCTATTTTCAAATAATATATGATTAGGTTTCTTGCCCTGGGAAGCTTTTCTACAAATGACAATAAAAGTAAATGTTTCCAGGCCTCAGAGCACAGCAGATCTATGACCTGGAAATGCCTCTGGAAAGCAAAAAGGAGATGGATGACGGACCTGGGTATGACTGCCTCTTGGTGGCCCCAGGGAAACCAGAGCTTGTTGTCACCCAGTGTGCGGGGGGGGGGGGGGGGACTGGCACCAGGGCTGACCTCTCCACAGACAGCAGGCACAATGCAAGGGGCATGATGCTTTTAGAGGCCCA